GGTGTCCAATTCACACAAATTTATAAAACTTTAGTCGCAAATATGAATCAAATATCATTAATGTGAATCTGTGAAATTGTAATTTGCTGCTTAATTTAGTGTCTAGTAAAAGTTGGTATAGCTAATCAGATACGTGACTTCGTTTAAGCCCAAGACAATATATAGTATTGTCTTTCCTTTTTTTTTAGCTTATACTATGAATGAAAGATAAAGATATATACATGGACTAGCCTTAACCCGGCTCAATATAACGTTTCAAATTGTATTTATTTTGTGTGTGCATGACCTACCCATATATTTTCACATTATTAAGGCATTTAAGGTATTTAAATGAACATTTTCTGTTCTTGACAAAAAATTGTTCAGTAGTTAGTTACATTTTTGTTCTTGTCAAAATATTACGTACACACACTATAAGTAATATTTTTTAAAGTTCGTTTTCCCCCTTTTGGAGCTCAAATTTTCCAAAAGCCTTTCTTATGCAAAGATACTTGAGTCTAAATTTCAGCTTCCTAGCTTTTACCGTTTGGACTGTGCGTTGATCACCAATCAGTCAGTCAGTCAGTCAGGACAAACTGTTTTATATATATAGATATGGGACTCTAATATATTTTTCGAATCAAAATTTTTATGTTTGTTCGAGATGTGCTTTTAAAGGCACTATTATATTACTACAAGTATATATACATATGTATATGTACATAGGTGATAATATTGCAAGAATAAGTGTATTTAATCTTCGAGTAGCTGACGATGGATTTTTGTTTTGTTTTGTTTTATTCGTTTTGCACTATCAGATACACAAATGTACGAATGTACATACTTACTAGCTACGTTGAGGTACATATAGACAGTCGCAAACAAAATCGCGTGCTTCAAATTTTAATTAATTTAATTAGCAGCTAAAAATGTTAAGCGCCCGTGTCTCCGCAAGCGACTAAACAAATGGCAACCATCAAAAGTGGCCAACGGCAACAACAACAACAACAACAACACACTCAAAGACAGCAGCAATAACAAACACAACAACAATGGCACAAACACAACAATAACAACAGGCTCGACCTTGAGCAACATGCTGTTAGCTTCGCACGTTGGGGCGTCCATTTCGTTAGCTGGGGGAGTTGTGGTGGTGGGCTGTAGATGGTATGGGTGGGGTGGGGTGGGGAGGGGAGGGGAGGACGAGGTTTTGCCTTTTACCTTTGGCTGCACATTGTTTATGACTTTATTGTTCAGTTGCCGTTTCTGCTGCTACTGCTGGCGCTATTCTTCAGTTGCTTCTTCGCGTCTTCTGTTGCTTCTTGAAGCAACAATTCAAGGGCATCGCTAACACGGTCATCAATTTTTTGTTGTTTTTTTTTTTTTCAAAAATGATTTTCTTACCGCCTCAGTCACCGTCGCGTCGCTCATTTGAACAAATTGTATGGCTGGCCTGCTGGCACTTGGCTGCAATGATTTCTAATTTGAATTTTTACTATGCACTTGGCTTTATGCTATTGCATTTGCAAATAATGCGCCAGTATCTATGTATCTATGCATCAATGTATCTACATATAGTATATATGTAAGTATCTCTCTATCTGTGTATCTCTACATCTGTGCGATGTGTGTCTGCCTTATTTATGGCTACTGCCGTCCGTGTAATTAATCTTCTGTAAAGTTGCCATAAACGCGAATTAGCAGTGCTTGCTGTAAAGTTGTTGGCGGCAGCAGCAAGTGGCAAGCTATTAGATACATGCCATTAGTTTTCGCATAGTGGCATAAATTTGCCTTTCGCATGCATTTCTAATGCGACTTTTATGCTATTTAAGTGCCATTTGTTTGTGAACGCTTCACCACTGGATGCCAGCTTTTGCGGGTGGTCTGAAAGGTCAATGCGAATTTTGATTGGACTTGAGAGTTATTTTACTCTGTTAAATACAAGATTGATTACTCAAGTGTTTAGAAATAATAATGGATTTTCAAATAATTCCTTAATCGATTTAAAACAGACCTTTGGTCTTTAAACGCGGATGAAGATAATTATACCCTGCCCCAAAAGGGTATACTAAGTAGTTTAGTGCAGCCCCACAAAGCATCAGCATGACGAGATGAGTTGACATAGAAATGTCCGTCTGTCCTTCTGTCTGTATGAACGAAAGTGTAAGAGCTAGGATAACCAAACTCCTTATTCAGATGCTCCTAGCTCCGGGAAAGAACAATTTTGGTTTGATACTTTAGGAAAATGCGTCTATAATCTTTAGGCCATAATAGATCAACTTTTATTATAAATAAATCAATCTTTCCCAACACAGAAGGACTTAAAAAACTAGAAGGTATGCTACAATCTGGAGGAATAACATTCAAAACAATGTAAAATAAAAACGTAGAAATGCAATAATTTGTTATAATTGTTACTATTTAAACATTATTTAAACAATAATTATTTATATACGATTCATTGCGCATCAAAAGATAAGCAAGAAATGCCTGCAATCATATGTTGGGGCGCTTAGTTATGACCAGATAGACAAATGTTTTTTTTTTGTTGTTCCGTACAGTTCTGAAGATGATTCAAAGTGAGCTTCATTTTCATCATTTCAAGAGAGAACGCTATAGTGAAATACCCTCTACCCAGACTAACTTCCGGCACTGACTTATGTATATGCGCCCATAGCAGAAATAATGAATTTTGAAACAAAAGTACATAGTTGTATAAAGATTATGGTGGCAACATACATATGTATATAGATTATGTGGACAGTATTGACAGTTTGAATTCCTAACGTATCATTAACAAGAAACATGCAATTTCAAAATGTACCTTTCTATGGCAAACTGTCCCCAGGACTTCTTAACTACAGCCTAAAGCTCTTTGTTGATGTTCGCTAGGCCAAAGATTTTTGATGTGGCCCAGCTTTTGCGAGTGATCGGACCATTCCATAAAATCACAAGCTTGTCATTATGCTCATGGTAGAACTATAGCAACGCATAAGACTGCATGACTTCCTCAAATATTGGAACATACTCGTTAACATGTTGACCCATGCCAATAAGTTAAAAAGTGTTTTTTTGAACGAAAAAACTTTTCATTTACTGTATTCATTATTTTCACCACCACTGTATATTAGATTTAAAGTTTTTGAAATTGCAGAAATAGCCAAAGTTTTTATAGTTATGCACAAATTATAGCTGTATTTTTATTGTGCGCAAAAAATATTTGCGTGAAAATAAAAACAACTCCCAACATTGTTAGTAAACAAGAAAGAGCTAAAGGCATGCAATTGTGAACTTTGTATGTACTTGTATGTACATATGTATGTAGGTATGTGTCTATGTATGCAGCTGTTAACAATGGTTTTGCATGCATATGTTTTCGGTATGCAGACAAAAAAGGTAAATGAAATACATAGTATATTTGTACATACATATGTATGTATTTACATGTGGCAATAATCGCCGTTACAACAGACAGACAGACAAAAAGTGCCCACGCATAGACGGCAATTAACTGCATATACGTACATATATATGTATGTATGTATGTATTTAAATACATATACATACATGCATTCGTAGGTATACAAACAAAAACCCACAGTACAATATGAGGCTTTCCCACCCCCCGCACTGATCACATAATGACGTTCACGACAGACACACGTGTCAGCGCATTGCACATTCGGCGTCTGCCAACCGAATTAGGTAGAATGCTCGCGCAGGCGCAACGAATGCAACAGCACCATCCGTAACAGTGAGGTAGAAAGAGACACAGCCACTAGTTACTCTGAAAGTTCATGTTAAAGTCAAATAAATAAATCAAACAATTGAGGCTAAACATAAGCAAGCATACGCACGCTGATTTGATAAGAACACTTTAAATTTGTATGAGGAAAGATCGAGAGCAGGCGAGAAGGCAGCAACAACTACAGAGAATGTAATAGCCGCCTATTGAATACTCTTTAGCACGTATGCTACTACATTGAAAAAAGTAATATAAATAATTATACGTTTTGGCTTAGTTTTTAAACTTTGGAATTCGAAATGAAACCAAATTAGGCAAATTAAAATACATAAATGAAAGAAAATTAATTCAAGAGTTTTATTACATCACTGACTACAATTTTTTAGATTCTGGAATCTATAATAATAAGAAAAATATCCATTTTTGATAATTTTTAAAAAAACTTAGTGAATTGCAATTCTTCTTAAAATTGATCTTTACATTACTTTTTGTCACGCGTACAAATTTAATTTGGACCAACTGCTTTACTGGAAGTAAGTGGCAGCTAATAGGGGCTCTACCGTTAATCAGTGAACTCCGACTTTAATTAAACAGTAACTAGCACATCATGAATATTTTCCAATAATGTTGAGTTTGGATATAAATGTACTAACAATTTAGCTTACTTTCATTAAGTTCATTTCGCTTATTAAAAATATAATTTTGAGAAATTCTAAAAGACCTATGAGATTTTAAAATTTCGTGTTCATTTACATAATAATAAAAATATATAGATAGAGCCAGTTGCTAGATTTTACACAATTAGTTCAATTTAGATTTGTAATTAAAACAATAATAAAAATATGCAGCAAAATGTTTAAATATTAATAATCTTCTTATACAAGGATAGCAGTCCTATATGCTATATTTCGAAGCGTAGTCATCAGGCTTTTGGGGGTTTTTTTAACGAATCTACAAACACGATTATAAAACAAATATAACTTGTCTCTCAAATAAGTGTATAGTAACAGTGGCCGTGCGGCTGCACTGTAACAGTGATCGATGCTGTTAGTTAACAGTGCAAGCGAGTGAGCGAGCGAGCGTTGGGAGAGCGCCGACTAAAACATATGCTAAGAATATGTAACGGTTTAACACCCGATGTGGGCATGTGTGTGTGTGTGTGTGTGTGAGCGCAGCAACTCGTGTGTGGGTCTGTCTGTCTGTTTAAAATTAATTTCAGAGCATTTTCCAAAAGGCAAACATGAACATTTCTTTTCAGTTTGAAAACGTACGCGAAACTGTGCAAAACGCTCAAAAGATTAACTCGTCAGTATTTCGAATCGAAGCGAACGCGTATACGAAAACATATTATTTCGCATTTTAGCAAATCGAAAGTAAACTGTTTAGAATACGAATAAGGAGGCAAAGGCAACCCAAATAGCACACAGCTCAAAATGCACAGCAAATTATTGGATGAGGTGGGTAAAAATGATTTTCCAAAGAAAATCCATAAATTTGATGTGTTATTCTTTTGTGCCGGCTCTAACTTATGGCCGTTGTGAATGTGTTTGTGTGCGCATGGTTTCTATTTTCGTTAGCAAATGTTTCGCATCGATGTATTTATTGGTAGCCCTAGCCCCCGAACGTCAGCAGCCGGCAGAATCAGCATCAGCATCATGCTGTTAGTTAGTCATTCCCATCAACACCGAGCTCTTTGGCGTTTCTTGAGTGTCATCGTTTATTTACATCCATCAACATCATAAACATAACGGCTAGAAGTGGCCGCAGCAACCTATGTGTCGTCGTTGGCTCTCGTTTTGGCTCCCACGCGGAAAAGCCAACTGCGGAAAAGCAGATCTTTTGTTGCCTGGCAACAAAGGCCCATCTGTGGCCATTTTGGTAGCATTTCTTTTTACCAATTGAGGAAATGGAATGGAAGTGCTGTGAATTGCGAGGGCACAGCTGTTCACATTATAAAGCCAAAATATACACGGTGCTGTTCAGTTGAATAGAAACAATACAGTACTTACTGTGTTCCTTTTAATCAGTTGGCGACAATTGCATTCACTTCTCACCATTGAGTTCGGTGATTGATAATCTGAATTGACACTTTTAATACAAGTAGCTTAATCAGTTCGATTGGGTTTGCATTTAAATACGCAAAAGTATGGCAAAGAATCTTTAAATTACATATGTATATAGTCTCCAAAACAAATGTACACATTTAATAGCTGAATCAGTTCGATTGGGATTGAATTTAAATACGCAAAAGTATGGCCAAGACTCTTTCAATTATATAGTCTCCCACTGTCAGCATTCTACAAACGGAAGCTCGAGTATGTTTTTTTAGATTTCCTAGCATTCGAACTGCTTTATTTAAAAAATTAATTTATTTTAATTTGTAAATTTGCTCATAAAATGATAAAGTTTCCAAACAGTATAACATATAACTAAAGATAATATTCAGAAATGCTCAGAATGCAGACGCTGTAGAGTAAACAAAAGTTCTAATCATGGACTAAGCTGTATCGGAAACAGATTAATTTACTTTAGGTTTTTAAAAAAATGTGTTATTAAAAAAATTAGTAGTAGAGACTCGGCTTGGACTGCTTTAAAAGTTTTGATGAGTATATCGCGTGGTGTTGCCTATTTTCGTTCTTGATATAGGCGTGATTACTTGTAAAACTCCTAAACTAAAATGCACCCGTTCGATGATTTCAATATTGCTGCTTAACTACTTAAAGATTAAAATATATATATATTACGTTAAAGGCCTTGATCAAGTTTGGAAACCTTTAATGTTAATTATTCTCAATATCAAATTCAGTAAGCTTTCAATTCTCAATTTTCTTATCAATTATTATTAGTGTTTCATTTCTTTTATATACATTTCATATTATATTTAGATTGCAATCCCTTCATTGGCATACAATAATTCAAGAAATTATTATGGAAAATTATTATAGAAATTATTATGGACTAGTTCGTTTGGCACGCTTAAGAAGTAAACTCGTTTCACATTTACATTTGAATCATGTTCAATCCACTTGTCGCTTCATTCTAATGCATAATGGAAATGGAAATTCTCCATTCCACTTGTAATTCAGCAAACTTTTTTAACTGCCCACTCAGCTGCTCCACAATCAGTGACCCAATACTCAGCTGCATTACAAAACCCTCCACCAGCAATCAGCTCAATTGCCAGTGATTACAAAATCAGCTGTTATGACAATGTCACAAGCCACAAGCCACTTTGCACTGATTATGACGCACACGAGCCGCAAACTTACTTAAAACACACTAACTAGCTGACTAGGTGACTAGCTGACACAAACTGTCTGGCTGGCAGACTGACTGGACTGACTGAACTGAACTGAACCGACTTTGCCCGTTGACCCTCGTTGTAGTTTTCCACGACACACAAGTATGTACTATAGTGTTCTGTACATCATTGGGGCAGTTGGCATTTGAGGAGAAGGTTTATTTCTGTCCAAGTCGCAGTGTATTCGTCAAAAGGTGTGCAATGCAGGTGCCTGTTGCTGTTGCTTTTTCTTATTCGAATTCGCCTTTGAGTCACGACGACTATTTTTACTTTCAATTTTCATTTTCATTTTCTTACTCAACCAATTTATATTTATTCAATTTAACGGCACTCTGAGATGTTCTCTGCTGATGCCGTCGTCGGCACCCACAATATACCAATAGCAACAAGAGCCGTAATCTAAGATTTCCCCGAAGCTATAATACTCTACAAGTGCATACTCTTACAAAGCATTTGGTTTTTGGTATTTTCTGTTCTCTAAAGAATAAAATCTTATATTAGAGACTGACATTTGATGGTTCTAACTGAATTTTTGGATGCACCTATTTTTATCTAAGTAGATCAAGAAATATTTCTTCTTCAGTTCATACTACATGTTTATACAAGTATTCAAACAATGTAGGGAATTAAAAAGTTGAATGAGTAGAGAATGAAGAATGATTCATTCATTCAACATTCTCATTCCCCATATTGTTTGAATACTTGTATATATTGTATGAGTCTAGAACCCTAGTCTTAAAATTAATTTATTAGGTAAAGGCGTCGGCTTCGGAACACCTATTTTGTTGGGTGTTCTTTACACAGACAAGAGATATCCCAGACCTGACGTGCATCCTTACAATAAAGGAGCACGAAAGTGTAAGAAAGAAAATCGATTTTTTTTTGAGGCTAGTTTCGGCTTAGTGCAAAAATTTCCCGCAAACTAATAGAATCATTATGTGAGGCGCAACAACAACAAAACAACAAAACAAACACAAGCCAACAAGTTCTGTTGAGCATCAGAGAATTTTGATTTCACGTTGAGTGAATTCGATGAATGGGCACGAATAATGCAAAACTGAAGAATAAAAATTAAAAAGGAATTAGCATTTTGACATGTACACCTAGTGTAGTATTTATTGAATAGGAATTTGCTAATTAGCAACGTCCCACATGAACTCAGTGACAAACAAAGCGCATAACATTTAAAAAACATAAATAAATATACAAACAGAAACTTTCCGTGCAACAAGCACAACAAAGAAGTACTGATAAGGCGTATGTTTCAGGGCCAAGCGAAGCGCAATGCGCGTGCCCGTTACATAGTCGGTCAGATAATGGCCAGTGGGTGCGGAACAGACCCCGTCAGACCCATTGCCGGTGCCAGACACAGACGAGACGGCGCGCCGATAATCGTTGATTAGACCAGTAGAGCAAGGAACTAGAAAAAGAACCTTCAAGCAATCGTTAATTAAGTTCATATTTACTCATAACTCATTTCGAATTAAGAATTGGGTTTGGCACTTGGCGGGAAATTTGTTGAGTATGTATTAATAAGAAGGAGAAATTGTTGTAAGTGCGTGCTCGCTTTTGAAATTCTAGTTTAAAAGTTACAAGGAAAGTTGCTTACTTTATTCCAAAAGTAGACTGATTTCACTCTTCCTTAAGGAACACACTTAAAAGGATTCGAAGTAGTCCGCTTGTTATGTGAAAAAGGCTCTGCACATCAATCTTTTTCTGTAAATTTGAAATCGTTATATATTTGTATTGATGTATTCGTTAGTATTTGTATTGCCTATGCTATAGTTTGTACTAGATCGAATACTGATTAGAATTAAGAGTTTAGTAGGAAGACATATTTTGTTCTAATTCTTTTGAGGATGTTCAGTAGAGATTTCACTTCTCTCAGCAATATATACTTCGATTCTAACTAGTTCCCGACTTATAATAAACTTAAGGTATGGTCAGACGGCAAATAATTTGCAGGAACTGTTAAAAATAGGCTTGAATATAATGATATTTAAATTTAAATTGGAGCTATAAATTAAAAAAAATGTTCTCCTACAAACTTCTTTTTAAGGAATATTTGTAATACACGATAAATTTGCATCCAAACTATTTGCTTGTGTGACCACAGCTTTAGACTGTTCAATTCTTTATAAGAAACAACATTTAATTAAAAGTTATAGCGACCTTGAAGTGCAGCCGATTGCTAAAATAAAAGTATCGGCTAGGCTCGCTATAGCCCTCTTATCTCCAACTTTATTAATCAAGAGTATTTTTGACCAATTATTGTTTCAATTATTATTAGAAATGCATAGAATTGTAATAGGAAAGTATACTCAAAAGATAATTATAGCAAATATTGATGTTTAATTATATATTATATTCTCACAATAATCGCTTGACACCAATGTATATAGTAAACTATAAATTAAATTTATATCAGTGGACTGTTTCCTCAATTCAAATAATTATCAGTTTTGGCGAGCCTGCTCAGTTTTGTTCTGAAAATAAAAATACTTGTAGTTAATTGATTTCGGTTTCGAAGGCAATTAATATTAATGAATATTAATAATATAAATGAATATAAACTAGATTATTTTTTATTTCATGTCATTCACAGTTTAATGAGAATGGCTATCTGGTCATCGAGGACTTTCTCACACCGGCCGAGGTCGATACGCTGTATCAGGCGGGACGGGCTTTATGTATGGAGGCGCCACAAACGAATCGGAAAATCTTCAGCACTTTGAAGGCAGAAAACGGGCACAGTAAGGAGCTGTATTTTCTGGAGTCGGGCGACAAGGTGCGCTATTTCTTTGAGACCGGCGCCGTAGGCGATGAGGGAGAGCTGGTGGTAGATCCCATGATTGCTCTGAACAAAGTGGGCCATGCCCTACATGTGGAGCATCCCACATTCAATTCGCTGACATTTAGCAATCGAGTGCGTGAGATTTGCTGGCAGCTGAACTTCAATCGTCCTGCCGTTTGTCAGAGCATGTACATATACAAGAATCCGGGCATTGGTGGCGAGGTGATACCGCATCAGGACTCGTGGTTTCTTCACACAGATCCCAATTCGGCTGTGGGTTTCTGGTTCGCACTGGAGGACTGCACGCTGCAGAATGGCTGCCTGCAGTTCATTAAGGGCTCACACAAGAGTGGCGTCCATCGACGCTATTTGCGTAATCCCGACAAGGAGTCCTCAGAGCTGATGGTGTATGATCGGGCGGCGCCCGTTTATCCACAATCGAGCTTCACGCCACTGCAAGTGAGCAAGGGTGAGTTGGCTCTTCTTCTACTACCTATGGAGATACCATTTAATTGTTATCCTTTTTGCAGGCACTTGCATCGTCATTCACGGAAATGTTGTGCACAAAAGCGAGCCAAATCGCTCGGCCAAGAGCCGTCACGCCTACACGTTCCATGTCATTGAGACTGAGAATAATGTGAAGTATTCAGAGGAAAATTGGCTGCAGGCGCCGCAGGACAAGCCCTTCCCGGTGCTCTTTGAGCGCAAGGATTAAGCTCATTTGCCATACTTTGTATTTTTGTCATTTAAGATTTTATTGTGTACTGAAAAAGAGCGCTGTAAGTTCTAGTTAGTTATATTTGTATATGCGTGAAGCATATGCGACACTGAAATTATAATAAACAAATGAAGTCCTAGTTAAAACTAAAAGAGTTCCATTTTAATTTAACATTTCCATTTCAAATCTAAAAGAGTTCCATTTTAATTTAACATTTCCATTTTTATGTTAACGGTAACATTGTGAATGTAAATTTAACAGCTATGCTATGTTATGAGGGTTGCCGTTGCGTTGCAATTCGTTGAAAAAGTAGCCAAGTGGCAACTCTGAACCTTTTCTTTGATCAACTAAAAGTATGCAACACTATGTGCAGATAAATAGAGGATTAATCATGAAAAACTTTATTGTGAGGAAAAGCATGCAGCAACAATTCTTTTGTGCTTTTTTGAAAATGGTATTCCATGCTAGCTTTGAAGGCCGTTATGAGTTTTAAACAGAAAGCAACTTTATTTTATTTGTAGAGTCTTTTTAAAGACGTTTCAGGAACCGAAGCCGCACTAAATGCTGTAAATTTCTTAAAGACAAATTTTGAATTTTGGAATACTTTAGCAATTGAAATCACAGTTGTTTTTCCGTTTTTTTCTTTGTTAGCATCTGACAATTCAGCAAAAATGTCTTCTCCAGTGCTAACAGTAATATTATAGAGCCATATACAAGTATTACCGGATGGGACAGCGGTTGTGAACATTTCTTTTATGTAAATACATTATTTAGAAGCTTTTTAAACTTAAAATTCTTGAACATATTTAAAGAAGCACACACGAACCAAACAGCTTCCATAGAAGCTCAAAAATGTTATTCGAAGAGTATTCAAAGCATATCTGGACACTTGTGGGACCAGTTGAATGCTTTTAATGAGAAAAATTAAAAAGTATTTGAACTTCCCGTTTCTCAAAATCTGGCCATTAACTGCGTGGTCTGCTTCTTCTGCCCACGACTTAAAACTTAATACAATCCCCAACCGTTTGCTCTTTGATTGTCAATTTGGAATCGGTTCTTTTGGATCGGCAAACACTCGCCGCTCTGCAGGCCGCAAAAAGGTAGGTAGGTAGCTGTTTCAATGTTGATATAATGCTTTAATTGCGGCCAGTGATAAGATTTAGCCAGCAATTTTATTTATAATTAATGTGACTAATTTGCGATAATCGACATGGGAATCTTGTTTATTAAGCGATTTGGCAAAAAAACCAAAGTAAAGTAAAATAAAATAATAATGCAGCCTGCCGCCATGGGAGCTGCCCTCGAGGATCTTAGCGGGCCTGCTGCTTCTTCTGTGCTCTGCTGTGCTGCCGTGGACACTTTTTGCTCCTACCTTTGTTTTCTTGTTGTTGTTAGTTGGTCGGCTGGTCGGTTGGTTGGCTCTTCTGAAGCGAAATGCTGTTCTTCTTGGTGTAGTTGTTGTTGCTGTTGTTGTTTGTATGTAATGTTCTTTCATGTTGCAAAACGATTTGTTGGGCGCAAGATTTATGAACTTGTTTCTTTTGACAGCCGACAGTGGTTTCAGTAACACACACACACTCGCACACTCAAATACACATACACTCACATTACTATGTGTGTGTGTGTGTGTGTGTGTGTTGTGTGTGCGTGAACATGCCGACTAATTAGAAGATTTTAATTATCTGTTTTCAATCAGCTTCCATTGAGATAATACTGTTGCTGCCTGTTCCTTTTTTGTTTTAGTTTTTTTGGTTGTCTCCTTGGCTGACTCCTTGCTGCCGTTTGTGGCTATTTAAGCCAAAATGCTGTTGACATTTTTAGTTGCGGCGATGGGGCCTGCTGCCAGTTTGAAAGGTGTTGTTGGTATCGAGGCCACGCGTATGCTGCCAATAAATGCTGTCAAAGTGTCCCAAAATCGATTAGAATTGATTCCTGAAAAGCCCGCTGACAGGCAGGCGGGCAGCACCACAGCTCCAACCACCACAACCACAATCACAATCGCAATCCTGTGCCTGTTCACAATAGCGCGGATTACAGTTGGCTGTCGTGTTCTGCGCCCCTGGATTCTTGTCGGCTTTTGAACACTAGGGTGTTTGCCGCCAGTCCAGACCAGACCAGCCCAGAGCAGAAGGAGGCGATGTCGCTGTCATTGACGATTTATGTCAACTGCCGTCGCGGCACAATATTCAAATTCTTTGCATTCACATTCACTCATCACTTGTCGTCAGTTGCTGGGCAGCCTCTGCGCAGGAGGGGAGCGACGCTGTTGTTGTTGTTGCTGCTGGGGTGACGGTATGGGCTTTGAAGCGCTGCAAAATTATGGACACTGCGTCCAGTCCTTGTAGCATGGCGAGGGCTGAACGATGTGTACTCAGTTTTTGGCGCAGCTTCCAAGAATTCTCTCAAACTATCTATGTTGTTTTCATCAGCTCGTCCAGCTCGTAATGGCTTAACATTTGTCTCAGACTCTCTCTATTCATGTAAATATATGCTCAGCTATTGCGAAACACTTCTCGGTCGCAGAATTCTCTCAAACTATGTATGTTGTTTTCATCAGCTCGTCCAGCTCGTAATGGCTTAACATTTGCCTCAGACTCTCTCTATTCATGTAAATGTATGCTCAGCTATTTCGAAACACTTCTCGCTCGCAGAATTCTCATAAACTAAGTATGTTGTCTTCATCAGCTCGTCCAGCTCTTAATGGCTTAACATTTGTCTCAGACTCTCTCTATTCATGTAAATATATGCTCAGCTATTTCGAAACACTTCTCGGTCGCAGAATTCTCTCAAACTATGTATGTTGTTTTCATCAGCTCGTCCAGCTCGTAATGGCTTAACATTTGTCTCAGACTCTCTCTATTCATGTAAATACTTGTATATGCTCAGCTATTTCGAAACACTTCTCGCTCGCAGAATTCTCATAAACTAAGTATGTTGTTTTCATCAGCTCGTCCAATGCGGCTTTGCTGGGTCGAATCTATATGTGATGGATTAACATTTGCCTCAGACTCTCTCTATTCATGTAAATATATGCTCAGCTATTTCGATACACTTCTCGGTCGACCCATTGACAATCAAAATCGAATTCGGCATCTTGGGCTTCGCCTATTTGAACTTTCACAAATTGAATTCAAAAATGTATTTAACTCTAATGGATTTGGCAACCTGAGTGGTTTTGTTAAGTCGGCTCTTTGCCCCTCAACCGGGCCTGCGTTTTATCTTTCGCCTTTTTCTCGCGTGGACGCCAAAACGAACTCGTTGCGTTACTTTGATTTGACAGGATTCATTGTCTCCGCCACTTCAATGACTTCAAGCTTACGCGGCACTCCACAGCGTCCCAGCCTCGTGGTTTCTGGCCCGTTGTTCCATCTTGGCCATCTGAAGTCAATGTGTATTGACATTTTAAATGCGTCCATCACGTTTGGTACACTTTGGCTTGCGCCTCGTCTGGCCCTGACGGAATTCATTTAAATATATTTTGGCCCCCAGAGGCCAGGCTCAACCGAACCGAACCGAACTGAACTGAACTGAACGCATCGTAGTTTAGTTCGGTAAATTGGGCTGAGACCAGCCAACGGAATTTATAAGCGGCCCTCACACTCGGCCATTTGTTCTTTAGCGGTTGTTGTTGTTGTTCTTACCTTCGAGCCTTTGATTGACTTGTGTCACTTTGTCTCATTTGTCAGTTAAATTGAGCAGCCGAGCCAGAGCCAAAGCCAGAGGCAGAGCCTGAGCCCGAAGGCCTTTGTCCCGTCCACAGTGCTCGGCAGTGGCGCTAAAGTGTCGGATGCCAGCCCTGGGAAGGTGTCTTTTTTTGGACATTATTTCTTAGTTCGGTTAGTCACTTGACTCGCTCAATCGATTGGTGTGAGTGTCATTTATTTTGCACTTTTATTTATTTCAGGAGTCGACAACTATATGCAAATATATATCGATATACTTAGAGAATGAAATTGAAACGTTTTAATAGGAAATGGCGAACAATTAATGCCGATGCCTGACCAAGTGTAGTCTCAGATCTACAAACAATATTTTAAATAATTTGATTTTTAGAGAAAGAAAGTAATGCTTAGTAAAGGACGCAAAAAATTTACCACTCCGAGGCGGGGGGAACGCTTACAGGGTTAGTTGATTTAGTTCCCATCGCCTGCTCATTGTTCCAAAGCTGATGCTTCAGTCCCTTCAAAAATATCGCATTCATTTGGAGAATCAACATACTGCAACAGGGTTCTGCCCCAAGCCAACATTTTTATTTTGTCTAAAAAGCTCGAAAAGGATCTTGATATGCTTATGAGTTGTGCATATAGTAAGGAGCAGATGTCGGATCGGAACTGAGATACTAAGAGTGCATTAAAGGGCAGATCCATCCACATCCCCAACAAACATCAAACAAGGATTGTCCTACGGCTAGCCAGCGACGGGGATATTGGTAAGCAGAAGTCTGCTGCGAAGAGCAAAAAAAAATTAATAATTTAATAATTTAATAAAGGCAATCGTTGAAGTGACTAATTGGAGTCTAGTATAAAAGAATTCGATTTTCAAGTGGTATGGTGTCGTTAGCCAATTGCTGATCTAAAAACTGGTTTTATTTTTTACATTGAAGTTCTTGATTATTATTCATTTGTATTCAATTAGTTGTATACTCTATGCTCTTGGATTAACTTTCGACTTTCGCATTTTTGTCTGACTATACAATTCCATTCATCGATTCTCAGTTCTTTAGTTGAATACAAATTTTTCAAGTATTTTCTTTTGGGCACTTAATGTCTAGTTTTTGAAAAACAATGTTTTTATAAATATTATTTAAACATATTTAATTCAACTAGGTGTTTTTGTGATAAAATATTGTATCCCCTCGAATAACAATAATAATAATTCAATATTTTTTATAAAATTCATTGACCTTTAAAATTCTCCTTTAAATTATATTAATTTGTGATTTCTCTAAGGCTCGGCAATACTTCTAAGGATGGTTTTTATCACATTCGGATATGTGGATTTAATTTGATAAATTGATTAAAGAGTTTCGAACGTTTATACTCCAAATACATGTTTACATATGGAAGCAAGAGATTAGAATTTCTAAAATAATTGTAATTCAAGAAAATCGAACTTTGCAGCGATTTGAGTTTTCGGTTCAGTTCTACTTCCC